CGCGTACACCGTCGGGGCGGATTAAAACGGGTTGTTGCATGATCAGAGAAGCGGAGGGTGTTATACCGATTTTCTCCTGCAATATCAATAGTATCATCACGGTTTCGGTCGACCCCGTTACGTTAATAACGCGTTGTTCGTCGCGCAACGCGACTGTCGATCGCATTGATTCTTCACAATGTCGAAACGTTTAATTTCACGTTGAATGTAGGCAAAACTTTTTAATGACTTCCTTTATCTCTTAGATCATCACGAGAGACAAAATGTCGCCCAACTGTGTCGTTTATGAAAATAATGAAAATTGTGTAACCCCCAAGTGCGTGATTATATACATTGGACTTTCCGTATACGATACGACAGTCGCCCAACATTGTTTATCGTGTGTTTTTGTTCTCAAGCCTATTTTCCAATTATTAAATACTACATATAAACGTAGTTGTAAGTGATTGTAGTTGTAAGACTAAGAATTGATCACAGTCGAACATGACAGAGAATATTCTATTCTTACACATTCAAGAAATATTTCTTTGCTATACGGTTAAAGAAAATTCTTTGATTTGAACATAATTTCTTTAAATTAAATAAATTTTTTTTATTTAATCTCAAAACATAATGTTTAAATCAAAGAAATGACGTTCAAAGAAGAATCCAAGAATCCAAGAAATTTTGTTCTTTAATTGTATAGTAAAGAAACATTTCTCTACAACTACGCTTATTTGTGAAATGGACTTTAGATGACAAACAGAAAAGCTAAGATTAGCCAACAGACGCAAATGCATTCCAAAGTAATTTTTGATCTTTGCAGGAATTTCCAGAATTTTCACTATTTCATGATGTTACGTTTAGACGATCAGAAATATCATAGATAGAATACAGGAGTTAACGTGACTTTTCTTTTTTACGACTTTGCTTCATGATGTGACTAAGCTGTACACACACACATCTTATCGAAAACTGCCTTTGGCGAAACATCGATAGTTCGCTGGGGCAGATGTTGAGAAGCCGCGATCCATGATATTACACAATGCATACGTAATGCGTCGGCTTCGATGCGGCTCCGCGATGTGTCCACATTCGTCCATGGTGGATATTTGCATCACGAGAACTCTCATATCACGAAATGTCATTCACGGGGGGATACATCTGAGCATATTAACTCTTCGAAGCTGACAGCAAAATCTGTAACACAGTTACTGATTGACGCTGAGTCTGTGGGATTTATTTAATTCATGTTAACTAAATGTTACTAATTAATTTCAAGAAATCAGAATGACTTAGTTCGTATATAAAGAGTGAATATTAAATTTACTTTATAATTGAATGAGACCAATTTAATTTATGTTGATTAATTTCAAGGAACCAAACTCGTGTAAAAAATATGAACACTAAATTTATTTTAATAACAATAATATAAATTTTCAAATGTACCATAAAGAATATAATAACGAACATAATCATTTAACGGTATTCTCGACTCTACATCTCTACGTAGACGCTAAACGCACGAGATAGATATTATCAAATTATTTTTGCTAAAAGAATATCGTCGAACTTTGTTAAATAACATCGTTCTGTTGCAATTTGCTACAAATGTAAAAGTAAAAAAACACAAGAAATATATTTTATAAATACCACAGCAGTTTTAATAGTAACGAAAAGTAAATATTGATGTAAAGGACATACAACCACGTTCAACGTAATACAGTTTCACTAAAATCCCCTGGTTTTTTTTGACGATAAAAGCATCTTCGATTTAGAACTCATCCAGTGGGCTGTCCGCATGGTTTGTCGCGTTTCAGAGGTTTGCACCCGGGGAGAGATTTATTACAGTCCCTTTTGTCGTACAAACGCCAAAAATGTGTCGTATTTGCAACGCGGGGGAGCTCAAAAAGGACGAGTATCAAAGTTTCGTATCCATTATTCGAAATGGACATCATCGAGTTCAATGCTTTGCTCCCCCTGCTTTTACATGTGATGTAAAAACGCGGTTCCTCTCTCCTTGATGCCAACGATTTTCTGCACAGTTTCGGCTTTTCCGAGGAAGTCACGAGGGGTCCAACGTTGCAACGTGCTTTAATGCGAGGCTTCACTGTTCCTAAAGTTAGCTGGGCATTAAGCAATGTACGGATGCACAATCTACGCAAAAGAGAGCGAAATGCTTTCTCGCAGTCGCAGTTTCGAAACTGCATAATGGGAAGTCGCACTTTCGGACGAGCATGAACAGTTGTTGTGTCGACGTTGTCACTCGACGTAAAAATCTAAAGTATATTATAACTCGCGTGTCGACTGATGGATATTGTGGTAACTCATTACAATGCAATTATTGTCAACATCTTAGAAACGCTCGAAATGCATTATATAGTTTCTTTTAAAGAAAAGTCAGTCGTAATTAACTACTACTAACTTGTACTTTTAAGTCTTGAATAGTCGTACGACATCAATCAAACATAGCAGTCGTTTCGTGACAAAAATCAGACCGTAATGGTACTACTGCATTAAGAACTCGTGGAGAACAGTAGTAGTTCGTGAAGTAGTAAAAAGTGCACGAATGCGGCAGCTGTTTACCGCAGTGAAACGTTAATCGCGACGATCGTGACGCAGCAACGAAAGGCGAAGATAAAACGAAAATGGAAGGGCCGCGACAGATTCGTCCGAAGTTTGCTTGTCAGCAGTCAGATCGATATTTCCTAGTGGCGAACTTTTCTCAGGACGCAAAGTAGATCGACTGTCATTCCCGATTTGTGTTCCCTCGACCGATAGAGCTTCTTGCGACACGAACTTCGCGATTACTTTGCGCGGATAGCAGACTGCGCTGACATATATTTCTACGAATCAGTTTAAGAGTATTTGTAGTTCGGTTCCTTCTAGTTCCTCGCCACACAACTCACTTTCTTTTTGTTTGTCTCGGCTGTCTGACAAGCTCTATATATCTTATATTTCTCATTCTGTGGTGTTCCCTCCTCGCGGCTATTTGAATAATGCAAATATCCTTAAAATAAACTAAAAAGTCACAATACAACATCATATTAAAGCTTCGATATTTTTCCGTATATACACATTTTGCACGAAGTTGTTTGATTTGAAGGTAAATGGCGCGCGGTGAACTAACAACGAAAGTAATATTCTGCAGTAGCAGGATATAGAAACTTCCCATCTCGAAAATTGAAAGCATTCTGAATTTCAGATATCAATTTATCCAATAGCAGCTCGTTTTAATCTGTCGTATTTGCGCTAAGAACATTAATTATCCCAACGGAGTTTCTTCCTCAGGCTCGCCGGTATTATCCTCGCCGACGTGTTTACCATCATCGTTTCACCGCGTCACGATGTGCCGACTACTTTTTCCACCTTGGGACGACGTTCCCCGATATAATTTATAGCGATATCTCTCTCAAGCCGATCGTAAACAGGGTATAAGAGCAAGAACACGAATGTATCGAAGTATGTTAACTATCCGACATCGCAGGAAAGGGGCGGGAAAGGGGCGGTGAGCGAAATATCATCGTTATCATCGAAACGCGGGATCGAAGGGATTCTTACTCGGCCAGCATATCTTGAGCGCACGAAACGGGGTCATATATTCGATCCTATTCAACATAGCATTGAAGGTTAATGCGAAGTTAATCTCGCACAACGCCTCCACCGCGTACGATACCCGGTTTCCCGTTGCTCGCAGAAAAGAGCGACAACCGTTGCCCCTGATTTACCTTTAATGGCTTTTAATGCCTTCCCGCCGGGGACAGCCCGCCTCTTGCAGTTTTCTTTCCCACAGCGAGACTCCCTTGCGGCAAGAATTATGAGCTTCCGGTACTCGGACGTCTTTGGCGAGCGCGAAATAGAAGTGCGGTAAATTTCAGTCAATTTTTCCATGAGTATTTCGATTCATTTCTTTTTTATTGTCAATTCTATAACGATTTGAAGTAATACTGCGAGATTACTTACTGCGTGAGTACTAAGAGAAAGATGTGACAAATTTTAATAAATATTTGTTTGAACAGTGTCAGTTAAATATTTGGTAAATATAAATATATGATATTCATTTGATACAAGAACTATTAATTTGATTCAACTTTTATTATTTTTGTTTAGCAAATATTTATTTTCTGTAAATATTATATTTATTAAAATTTTGTTAATTTTTCTCTCAGTGTAGAAATCGTCATTATTTCCTCGATTGAAAGTCAAGTTAATGGCATTGATGTAACCTGCAGTACGACAGAATCATAATTGAAAAATATCTATAATATCTATAACAGGCCCATAAATATCCATATCCAGGATATCCAGGAATTTTCAATCTACAGCGAAAAAATAGGTCAAAATGGGAAAAAAATGGATTATTTTTTCGCTCTCTAGATCGACAATTTACCCTGGATAGTCCTATTTTAATGTCAGATTCGTATTCAGCGACTCAAAATACATAAGAATAATCTTCACTCCAGCATAGGATATTTTTTTTTGTGATAATTTATCCCTTTTATTTAATTGTTTAGAGAAATGCTGAATAGACGAGAATCGCCGGTTAGGAATTTTCTCCAAATTGAATTGTGAAATCCTTTTATATAGGATTGAATAGACACAAAATAAAGATGCGAGGTGGTGCACTTTATATTAAAAAAAAAAAGAAATTAAATTTTTTCAACTCGCCGAGTTGTCATCTAACGTAGACGTTTTCTTAATATGAAAGTTCTATAATTATGGATAAAGTGAACCGTCTCACACTTTGGATTATATGAACGAACAGTATTGAATTTATAGAACTTGATTGAAAACTTATAAGAGTAACAAATATTTTCCCTGCACTGTAATTTACGTGCATTGACATAGTGATACATACATATGTTGATGATCTCTTGTAAATCGTATGTGTGTAGGCTGCGTTTAATCGATAAAATAACAATTCGTTGGAGATGGCCGTCATTATAGCATCCCCTTAATATTCACTTAAAAATTATTTATTATTTACTTATCGCTAATAACCATGACTATTTATGTTTCAGGACTCTGTCAACAGGACGCGGTGCACATCACGGCTATTCTTGGGGAGAGCGTTGTCTTCAACTGTCACGTAGAGTTCCCCGGTGAGCACCCAGTGCCCTACGTTCTCCAATGGGAGAAGAAGGTAGGCGACACGGTACGATATCGGACGATATCGCCTCTGCTCTCTATATCCGTGAGTTAAAAAAACGGGGGCACTTCTCGAGAGCGCCGCGCCTCTGGTATCAGCAAGCTGCCAAGTGTACCATCGCGACATTTTAAACGACGTTCGAGGAGAATCATTCGACGTCATATCGAGTGAAAAGTCTCTTTTCGCTTCGCTTCCTCGAGCAATCGACGCGTACAAAATCGTAAGCGCACCTTCCGACGCCATTAACACCCTCGCGACGCTTAACGTCTCTTTTTTTTTTTTTCTCTTATTAAGAGCATCACTGTGTGTTACAATTTCGGTTAATTATTTTTGATACATGAGATACAAATTAATGATGGTAATAACGATACGGAGTAATAGAAAGATCGACATTTTTCGATCGTCGCTTAATCCGAGACGCACTCCATGAAATATCGTAAATTTCTTCGGGTGGAAATCCACTGGAATTGTCGCAGTTCGCTCGATGCGCGCTCACTCCCGCGGAAAGAAATTTGCACTTCCGAGACTTCTTTTTTAATTCCCCGATTAAACGTTGCATAATCACGAATTGGAGCGTGAAAAGGCAATATGGGAGGGAGCAAGCAGATACGGCGCGCTCCGGCCTGTCGTGCCCGAATAAACAGTTATTTCTATGAATTCTGTGATTCAACTCTTCTCTTTTCGACCACTATAAAGTTAATGTCCCAGTTCTAGAGTTTTTATATAATTGTAAATAAATTCTGATTCAATTAACAGAAATAATCCCATTTCCGATCGAAACGAATCTTAATGTGTAATAATACTAAATGTAAATTTTTACAAATATATTATTTCAGTTTTATTTATAAGTTACATGTGATTTGAAAGATAATCATAAACAGAACCGAAATTAGATTGTCTAACAGTGAAGATAATAAGATCTTAAAAACTTATTGCGAAAAATATTACCTCAGTCAGGATTTGAAATTCTAATTCTTCCAAAAAATTCGAGATTCAACAATACGTCTCAAAAAGACTTCTAGAGCTTCAAGAATTTTATCGATACATCTCTAAATATTTTTATTCAATCATCGATTTCAATTAAAATAAAAAAAAAATTGCTTATGAAACCATCAATTTTTTATACAATTATTGTACAGTTACCGTCTCTTTATACTTTGGATTCTTTATATCGATATAAAACTAAAGAAATATTTACATACTGATCGAATATCTACGGAATCTAGTAATTTTCTCGATCTTATACGAGTAGTGTCGATGGTGCCGGAACGTCGTCAGTAATTTTTGTTTAAATATCCACAATGCAGTGATTCCATATCATGAACATGAATGACTTTATACATCATTATTGATTACATATGGTTATATGTACTAGCGAGCTTGTACCAATGAGGCAGAGCGCAGCAGAGGGCACACGTTTTTGAAATGTTACTGCAACGTTATTGTTACTGAAAGAACTTTAAATTGGCCGTATATTTACAATTTGTTGGCTTACGCGCTTCTTCCGTTTGTCGTTTTGTATATCTTGTTTGATTTTGATTGATGGAATCGATAACGGCGAACGGGACGCGCCTCTCGTTCGTGCGAGCGAGCGAGCGAGCACCGCCGCAAATTACTCGCTCGAGTAGAGTAAAAGTAACGTACTTTGTATCACACGTTGTATCTCGTCCGGACTGGAGAGGGCAGAGCACATTACATACAATTAACGACGTCATCCGATCATTCAATCAGTACTAACTACATGAATTCCAGATCATAAAAATGCGAACAATCTTTTCTCATTCATCTCATGTGATGACCACATATCATCACGATATACATATGTACATGGGTTGGCGATGCGGGTGCAACGAAAATGAGCGATACGTTGATACGTAGACGTTACAGATGTAATTGCCAAACGAATCGAAAAACCGCTTGAAAAATAACGAAAGCGATCCGTTGTAAAATGTCAATTCTAATTCCTGGCGGCGCATCGGAAACTTGTTATCGTGAATCGCTCACGCGAAATGAAAAATTAAGGATCATTATGGTATATTCGCTTCATCGATATCCGACTCTCCATTGGTATCATCATCTACCGATCGGTCGATCTCCTTCGAGTATTCGTCAGGATTTCATTCGTAATACGGTTACGTGTAAAATGTGTAACGGCGTTTTACACACCGTCGAAACGTAAGCTTTTTTTTTTTTGCGAGCAAATTAGTGGTGACGTATCGTGATTTTTCGCGAGTACTCGCGCGCACCCAATAATATTCCCGTGCTAGACTTTTATGGAGATTTCGTTGCACCATTTCGAGTGAGAGAGAAAAAAAAAGCGAAAGGACTGCCCGATCGTAACGCGTATATTTTAAACGGTGTGCAATTTGGTGTATCTGTGGGAAAACCGACGTCGAATCTACGCTCGTAAAATCGAGAGACGTTGTTGTCTCGATTTTCTTCTCGATTAGATTCAGAAGTGTCCAACATTATACGCGTTTACGATTCGTCACAGCTCTTTCAAACGACGAGCTCGCCGTTTCACGAATCTTCGCGATATAAAAAAAGCAAGAAAAGCAAGGGAGCGTCTTTCAATCTCTCTAAACTTCAGAATTTTATGTGTTTTCCATCGTACGCGTGCGTGTATTTCTTATATTTCATAAATTTTGATATTTCGTATAATATATTGATTAAAATTTATTCAATGAATTTTATATCCCGTAAATAAAAGCATAACATAGACGGAGGAAACAGTTTTTACTTTTAAGGATGTATTATACGTATTTTTTAACAAAATGAAAAAATTAGGAAAAAATTAGATTTTTCTTTATTATATTTGAAAGAAATATAAAAAGTTTAGTGATTTAAAACCGAATATTAAAAATTATTCCAATGGATGTTTTTAAAGAATAATTAAAATGTGTGTGAAATGAAAAAATTTTCGTTTGAACTATAAAATTATATTAAATACATATAAAAGAATATTGACTTTATTGAACTATTTTATATTTTATCTACTGAAAAAAAAAAAACAAATCGCAATATTCGCAAGCAAATATTGTACATATGACGTTTTATTGATATTTATTGGTCATAAAAAAATTGACTATGGTGACAAAATATTTCTGTGAAATATACATATCTCATTAATATTGTAAAAAAATAAAATAGATAGTTTATTTGTTAGGAATAAAATTTCATTTCGCTGTATATTTAAATAAAAATTTATTTCAGTAAACACACACACTAAATATTATATCTCACAAATAAATTTTTAAGTATTTTTTTCTCATTGTATGAATATATATATATATATATAACATTTATTTTTATACGGAAAATATAAATTTCCAATTCCAGTAACTTTTTGCACAGAGACTATACATCTGATACATCCTTAAATCGCGGAATGATGTCGACTGTTACTTTTCTGTGATCTCAGGAATGATCAAACGATGCTTTGCTCGAAATGCAAGAACGAATACCCTTTTCGTTTCTTTGAGATTGACTTTCGATGTCTGCTTTGAGTACCCTCGTTTCTTTTAGTACATCGACATCTAGTTTGAGTATCTCGAATTACTCGCGCGCGGCTTGTTCGCGAACGGCCAGCTCGTCCATCACGAAACAATGCGGAGTAGTGCACTTTCCCACTTCTATCTCGGGGGCGGAAAATTGAAAAATCATGTCTCTGTCTCCTCTAACCTCTGGTGCCTTGCATGCGTTGTTTGCTGTTGCACGCGGTGGTAGCGGATTTAATCGGAGGGAAAAAAAACGCACGTCGCGTGTAGTTGAAGCAGCATGTATGACTGCCGCATAAAACTGCGATGTATCATCGATGCAATTAGATCGCGCAATCGCGGCTTCGGCTCGCCGTAAAATGCGTGATTGCGTTCTGCAGATTCCTCCATTATGATTTATGCGGTCTTGTGTACATAGAAAAAAACTATTTTTAAATTGATAATAATATGTTCATATATAAGAAAAAATATTATACACCCAGAGAAAGGTTTCTTCGATTTAAAGAAATGTTTCTTTGCTATACGGTTAAAGAAAAAATTTCTTTGATTTGTGAACGTCATTTCTTTGATTCAAACATTATTTTTTTTAATCAAATAAAATTTATTTGTTTTAAAGAAATTTTATTTGAATTAAAAAAATAATGTTTAAATCAAAGAAATTTTTTCTTAATAGTAATTTTGCATCAAAGCTTTTAATCTTGATTTGATTTATGTTGATGCAAGTATTTTAATACTTTATATTCGATTCAACACTAAAAATCTATGAAGCAAGATATATTTTTGCTTTTATATAAGAATATTATTATCAATTTAAAACTAATTTTCTTTCCGTGTTCGCAAGTATAAAAATTAATCAAGTTTGAGAAAGTTACAAGGTACTTTATACAAGTTCTTTCCAAGTTACTTTTTAAGTACTTTTATCTTATATGTGTTTGTTATACAAATTGAGTACAGAAAGTAATGGAAAGTAAAATTGGAGTAATTGATATAAAAAATATGATATAAAAAAAATGAAATACCCGAACTTACCGTATATTATTATTTTCTATAATAAAAAGTAAAAACTTATAAGTAACTTTCCCAATCCTGAAATTAGTGTACCCGCCTGCAATCGTCCGACACCACCGGTGTGAGCATGAATGTAATATTCGTGTAGAAAATTTTGCCTGCTACGTAGCATAATGTAATATGTATACGTTTAGTGATACCGTAGTCGCATGTATGTCGCATTACCGCGAATTTGTACAGTCGCGTTGCACTTATCGGTCCCTCTCGCGATCAATAGTTGAAATATTCCGCTAATCTGGTAAGCTCGCCGGCGCGAGATATCATCTCGCCGATCAGCGGTGTGTGCGTGCGTAATGCCGCGAAATAAATTGATTAAAATTAAAGCGACGCCATCGACGCCATCGACGCCATCGACGCCGGGCGTGTGGAAACTAACACGATTGAACGAATTATAGTATCGGCCGTATAAAATGCGTAAAAATGAAAGGTATTTTCAAACGT